CGATTTCTCATTTAAAGGACTTATTTTATATTTTCTAAATTCTCTGCGTCACAATATCGTTTATCGTTTCGAATAAATTGCAAATTATAAAATACTTTACAACATTTTTTCTAATAATTCTTTCGTTCTTTCCTTCGTTGGAATATGATTGGTGCTGTGGCCATACCAAATAATAATTGTAAATAGTAGTGTTGTTAAAAGGCTCGTTTAATCCGTAAATTTAGGTAATAGATGTCTAAACCTTTGTTCCTTCTACAGACGAAATCTTCAGGGCCTTTGCGAATATTATTCTAATAAAATATTGAGGTATCTCACTAATAAATAGCGGTATTGTTCATACGATGATATAGTGAATAATAAGCATTTGCAAATATTCTCGCTTTCCAAAACTAGTGTTGTATAATTGTTGAGATTATTTTCAGATGTAATACAATTCTATGATTTTGCAAAATTAAATTGCATTTATCGTAACGAAATACAAGAAAAATATTACACAATAATTAGTGATAATAATATGAAATATTTGAAAGAAATAAAGTGTTATATGTTAACAATTATTTGCTTGTAATCAGTAGAAAATTTACCAAAAATTTATACACCATTAGTTCGAATCTTATAATTCTCTTCTATGGTTTAAATCTGAGACTACTCAAATAAAATGATAAAAATGTAGGATTTTAGTATTCATTGTCCATAGCCTAATCCTAGTTTAACCCTTCTTGATTACGATGAAATAATTAGATTAATTTAATTTTTTAGAATATCTTAACAGATTGACAATATAAGACCAGGTAATCTGTTGTCGAACCTCAAAATCTTAAATACCTTTTTTTGAAAAATTTTTTAAATTGTAGGCGAATCCAATTGAAATTATTAAACCTTGATTTTATTCATTTGACTAAACTTTTACTGGTTCGAACCAGTTTAAAAAAGGTATTTTTTTATATAAAACCTGTACCAATATGGGATTGATATTTATTGCTGAGGCTAGTGGGAGAGACTGAATATCTATGGAACTAATAATAAATAAATAAATATATAATTATTAATAATTTCTAATACTAATTCACTACTTTTACTCTTTATTCAACTTCTATCAAATCCAAAATAATAATCACAATATCGTCTTTAAATTAATAATCAAAAAATCATCGGTCAATAAAAAATAAAATAATTTTCGAAGAATCCAAATTATCCAAAACTGAACTTTTTTGAATTAACAATGTATATCTATATATATGAAAAAATTAAACAATTTTCGAAGAATTAAATATATATTTGCATATTTGAATATATATATAAAATTTATAGAAAAATATTATGTTCAATTTAAGATTATTTACATAGACAAATTACCCCAAAAATATTATCTTCGTCTACCATTTATTTATGAATAATCACTTTTCAAAATTAACATTCGAATTTGCATATACAACAAAACCTACAAAAATCTTTCAAAAATGACAAATATTTATATAACAACGATCCCCCCCCCCTCCCGTTAATTTACTTAATATATCTTACCGTATTTAATATATAATCTTTGTTTAATTTAAATAAGTAATTTGTATAATAAATAAATTCTAATATATGGTTATTATCACTTAATATCGGAATATCTCCATTTTCATTTTCATTTTCATTTTCATTTTCATTTTCATTTTCATTTTCATTTTCATTTTCATTTTCATTTTCATTTTCATTTTCATTTTCATTTTCATTTTCATTTTCATTTTCATTTTCATTTTCATTTTCATTTTCATTTTCATTTTCATTTTCATTTTCATTTTCATTTTCATTTTCATTTTCATTTTCATTTTCATTTTCATTTTCATTTTCATTTTCATTTTCATTTTCATTTTCATTTTCATTTTCATTTTCATTTTCATTTTCATTTTCATTTTCATTTTCATTTTCATTTTCATTTTCATTTTCATTTTCATTTTCATTTTCATTTTCATTTTCATTTTCATTTTCATTTTCATTTTCATTTTCATTTTCATTTTCATTTTCATTTTCATTTTCATTTTCATTTTCATTTTCATTTTCATTTTCATTTTCATTTTCATTTTCATTTTCATTTTCATTTTCATTTTCATTTTCATTTTCATTTTCATTTTCATTTTCATTTTCATTTTCATTTTCATTTTCATTTTCATTTTCATTTTCATTTTCATTTTCATTTTCATTTAATAGTTAAATTTTTTTTCATCAGTTTTATTGATTTCACAATGCGAGGTAAATGGATAATTCCCATACTCGGCGTATTTTTGTTGGCGTCTTTGCTGTATTTATCGACCCGTTATCAAAACTGGTATACGATGGATATCAAGGTGAACTATTTAAATTCTCGATTCCATCATTCGATCAAATTTATGCCCGACTTTAGAGATTGGAAGAAGATGTGGCTAAGATTTAATAATCCTGATCCATATACAGACTCACAAGATATTAGTGACATAGAAAATGAGATGGGTCAATACCAGTTCTTAGACGAAAATTCTAACACAACGATTTACCGCAGGTTCCAACTGCTAAATATTCCGAGGGCATTTTTTATCCACAACCCTTCCGAAATTTGTTTAGACATGGGCTGGCGTTATGATTTTTCTTCTAAATACCAGAATAAATCTGTTGACACCATCCCCTATGTTAATTATAATAATGAGCAAAATATTGATCACAATAATGATACTTTCCCTTCCTTATATAAAACGTATCTAAAATTAATAAATGACGGAATGAGCGATACAAAAGACAATGATTATTTGTTCGAAAAAAGACTCGACGACTTATCAACATCACAAGCTAATGATGAGCAGCATGCCAGTCATAAAAAACAGATGTCATTACTTGTAGGCATATTCCCTCGTCCAGAAGAGTTTGAATTGAGACAAAACGTTAGAAAAATATGGGCCTCCCCTTTTTCTGCTCACTTGAAGTCAAGCTACTCCAAAGATGCTCCCTATACCGGAAGTTACTTGACCTTTAATAATTTTCGCCATGAAGTTATTGTTTGCAAGATAAAAACTGTGTTTGTCCTGGGAATCTTCGAACCCCGAACTGAAGAATTTAATGGTACATCGGCTAATATGACTACACAGAAATTTAAAACGGGGATTAGAAACTTTGATTGGGAAAGGCGAGAAATACAAAAGGCTATAGATGCCGAATCCTTGATTCACGGCTACATCATACAAGCTACATTTGAGGAAAATTACAAAAATTTGTCATATAAGACAGTTGCTCTCTTAAACTGGGTATCTACTCATTGCAACAAGGCTCAATTCTTGCTCAAGTTGGATTTGGACATCTATGCCAGATTAGATATCTTAATGAGTGTGTTAGAAAAAATAATGTTGCCTAGTATAGAATCAGAAGCAAGTAGAGATAAAATGGTCATCAGTGATGAGCTACCTTCGAAGAATACTTTTCAACCTGTTATTAGTGAAAACAACACTGAAAAAGAGGCAAATCATTTAGACGAATTAATGGAATTCCAAAAGAAGCTTTATTGCCATGTATGGAAAAATTTGCCAACTAATCGCGAATACGGGCACAAAAACTTTATTGATAAGAAAGAATATGAAGCAGAGCACTACCCCACATTTTGCAGTGGGTGTGGTTATTTAATGAGCCCTTTGTTAGCTGGAGTTCTTTACAATCAGTCTCTAGACCTTGCTAAACCATTGCCTAACGAAGACGTCTTCTGGACCGGTATCATAGCCGAAAAAGTCAAAGGGATTGATCATAAGACTTTGAATGCTTATTATAAATGGACAGAGTTGGATTGGGGGGAAATGCCTTACATCTTCTCTTCTTACTTAAACATGAAACACCTTAGAAAACTTTATTTTCGCAATTCTTATCTATGAAAAGTAGCAAATTATTTTTTTGTTCAAACTTAGTAAAAAAAATTTCATACGTTAAATACAAATATTACCATATATAATATTAGCCATGGAAAGTATTAAATAAAAATGGATGGATTATATTTTTTTTTATTATTGTGCAATATATAAAGAACAAATTTATTCTGATATTTCATATTTGGATGGCGCATCTAAAAATAAATTTGTTTGCTTTATTAATATATTATTCTATCTCAATTTTTTTTTTAAATAACACGGGAGGAAAATTTTCATTAAAAATCGGATGGGAGTGGATCTTAATACGATTCATTATTAACTTGCAGTTAATTTACAGAAAAATGACCTAACTACTATAGGCCTTATACCATTATCAGGCTTCGATAAGGCAATGAGATGCCCCCCCCCCCTCCACACCTGTCTAAGGAAGATCCGAGCTATATCAACTGGGAGGGCCATTTAACCAATTTTATTATAAAACGAGGTTAAATTGTTTATGAAGAGACCATTAAAATTATTAAAGAGGAAGTACTTAAAAAATAGCAGGGTCTATAACCATAGAGGCCTCTGGCTGTAACTGCTAAATGGAAGAGGAGAAATGGTGGTGGGTAGGGAGATACATTATGGGGAACACTGATAAAAAACTTTTTTTAAAATCCTATTTAAATATGGCCGAGTCGGGTGATGGGTTCTGAATAAAAATTCTGAGAGTGCTTGGTGGTCTTAAAAATCGCTCCTTAAATGCCAAGGTCTAATTGGTAGATGTTTAGAATTTTAATAACCCAGATAAAATGGATTAACATTATAAAAAAAATATATGGATTATTTGCCCTTTTTTTACGAAATCAGTTCCTTATAGATTTTTAAAAGTCCGCTCTCCTATTGCTGGATCGGTCCCAATCCCAATTCCAAACTCTTAATTTATTTTCTATGAATGAGGTATCCATTTCACGTCGCAAAATAAATCCCTTCATCAAACTTATAAGGTTATTGATTTGTTGTTTTTTTTTTCTTTTTGAGTTGATTAATTTTATTATTTTGTATAAAAAACAATTTTACAAAAATATGTTTTTTTTTAAAAAAATATACAATGATTTTTTTTAATAAGAGGTTTAAATTTATATTTTTTTCCTAAAAAATAGCAGCTGATTGAATAGGAGATTTCCTGGGATCTGAGCTGGCAAAAATTTTATTCTGGAATTTCATGATAGGCAGGACACTATTGAGGCCTTCCACTTTCAAAAATTTGTGATTTTTCTTCTCTAAGCTTCGTAAGATGAGATTCGGGAAATTTTCTTATTAATTATGTTTATATGATTGATAAAATTAAATTAAATTAGCTGGAACTGTCAATCTCTCAATTTTAAATCATTTAGTGAGAGCCTTACAATTATTATCATCCGATTTTTACAGAAAATTAATTATTGGAGGATATGGTAGATTAACATATGCTGAAATGCAATTTCCGGTCGAAAATAGAATATCGAAAAAATATCACTAGGTAATAAACGATCATAATTTGAGAGATTCAGAATTCTCCATCGAATCCCTAATCCCTATCAATGATATTGTAGTTATGACTATACCGAGAATTCATTTGTACAAATGTGTATCACTATAAATCAATTAAAATATCACGAAAACTTGTTTCATTTTTAAATTATTAACAAAATAATAATAAGAGGAAACTGGCGGGTCCCCGCTGAGTATAACGACGTTGGTCTAACGAATTAATAGTCAATCCAGGTAAGTATAATATAGCATTGAGTCCCAATATGATATATATATGAAAATGTTTGATAATGGAACTCATTGATATAAAATTGCAATCGAACCGGGTTGGCCCTGAACCATTCAAAACAATTTTTGAGTTATAGAACCTGAAAAATACATAGGGGACCTCGATTTTAGGCACGAGCCCGGCTTGGTCTGGTTCGAACTAATTGTATTTCAGGCCCGAATCAAACTTATTTTAGGGTCAGGCTGATTTCGTGGTGACTTTCTAGGATTCTTGTTTAGAATCTCTAATGTGAGAGTGTAAAAAAATTTTTCGAGCGATAAAAAAAATATCTTGGGACATGATTTAAAGATTAAAATGAATTTAGGTGTTCTTGCCTATTTTACTAGAGAGCTGCTGAATAATATCAGATCTTTAGAAACTCTTTAAAAAAACCGGTTTCAGAATAACTAATATTTTTAAAACAACCATAATTGTCTGTATTAATTTATAAGCCAGTGTTTGTTTTTAACTTTACAAGGTTATCGATAATACAGATGACTCTAATTTACTTTTTGCTTCTTTAAGAAAAGAAATACCATTTTTTTTTTCAAAGTTAGCGTGATAAAAAAAAGGAGTAGCTTCACCTTCTACTTCGATAATGTCTGTTTGACAATTAAAGTAGAGCCTGGGTCTGGCCATGGCAGTTTCTAGGGTATCGCCGAAGGCTAGAACGTACATGAGCACCTGGGTCACTCCGCTGATTATTCTAGTTCCGTTAGAACCACCCAAAGCAATTTTGTAGCCACAATCGGCAAGCCTATCGTAAGCTATGGTGGGAACCATAGAGGTATGAGGTCTTTTGCCAGGAGCGGGATAATTGAACTGAGAGTTTTTAGATTTTTCAAAATATTTTAAAAGGTATTAAATATGCTGACTATGTTATGAAGTAGAACCCTGAAAAATAAAAAATTGATATAAAATACGTTTTTATTTTGACTGACACTGACTCTTGATAATGTAAGAATGCAGTTTTACAAAATTTGAAATGTTATTATATGTGTAAAAAAAAATTAATAATAATTTGATAGGCACCTCTGCAAAATAAAGGACTGAACAAGAGCCATTCTTAAGCTCAATAATAGTGTTGTTAAAATTAATTCAATTTTTTTTATACATAAATATTATTCAAAATCTGAACATTTTGCTCATTGTTGGTTGTTCAAATATTTGGATATCTATCAGTTCAGATCTCCAGTTTTCAGCAACTATTTTCCTTCCGTCCTTCCTTTCTTCTCTTCTCTTCTCTTCTCTTCTCTTCTCTTCTCTTCTCTTCTCTTCTCTTCTCTTCTCTTCTCTTCTCTTCTCTTCTCTTCTTCTTCTCTTCTCTTCTCTTCTCTTCTCTTCTCTTCTCTTCTCTTCTCTTCTTCTTCTCTTCTCTTCTCTCTCTCTTCTCTTCTCTTCTCTTCTCTTCTCTTCTCTTCTCTTCTCTTCTCTTCTCTTCTCTTCTCTTCTCTTCTCTTCTCTTCTCTTCTCTTCTCTTCTCTTCTCTTCTCTCTCTCTTCTCTTCTCTTCTCTTCTCTTCTCTTCTTCTTCTCTTCTTCTTCTCTTCTCTTCTCTTCTCTTCTCTTCTCTTCTCTTCTCTTCTCTTCTCTTCTTACGGCTCAATATTTTAATAGAAGGATAACTGTGAACGAAATACATTTAAAAAATAAACATTTGTGCCAATCCGAATCAATCCATAATATTTAAATATATTTTTTAAAAAAAATTGAGACTGTTCATGAAAATTATTATTTATTTTTTTTTTCAAATGCTTATCAAAGATCTTATCTTATAGACCCTGATAATGCTTTGAATCCAAGAGAAGTAATTAAATGGAGAAGAAGGTCAGGAGTTATTTGTTCTCAATAAATTTTAAAAGGGAGATGGCTGGTTGGGCTTATACAAAAGTAGGAATAATATTTCAGGAAATCTTCTAAGAGATATGTTGCCTGCACCTTATTGCGTTCTCATACCAATGCATAAGAGAGTTTATTGTCAATAAGTTTTTTTTTTTAAATATAAGGCAATATTGTAAAATGTATTTAATGAAGTTGGAATATTTTTTTGAAGATAATAATAATGAAAATATAAATAATTAATATTTACTGAATTTATATCCTTAGTAAAATCATCCATATGATCGTTCAGTAGAATTCCATCATGAGATATCACTTTAGAGCCGAATAAATTGTTGATGGATCTTTCATTTCATATAAATACATTTAAAATTGGAAAAAAAAGAATTATTATATTAAATTCTTTTATATATATTTAAATTCCAAAAATGATATTACAAAATTCTAAAGAAAATCATTATTTTTAAAATTTTATAAATAATACTAACCACTTTGTTATATCGCATAACTCTAGCAAATTCCAATAAAAATTAGCCAAGCTTTTAACCTAAAAAAATAGACGAAACCCTATAAGTCGGACCTGAACTTAGATATCGGAACGAATTCTTTAGGATAAAAACTTGACAGATCTATTTTGGAATTAGTCATAGGTGATTTAACAACACTATTTATCAAAGCTTACTCTCACATACAATTCTTTTCTTTTAAAATGCGACATATTAATTTTTAAAAATGTTAAAAAAAAGGAAAAATTAAAGTTAAAAATTATTTATTTATAATATATGTATATCTTATTAAACGTGGTGACCGATACGATGAGGTCATTCTTATCGATTGCGGAAGCGTGCGCGGTGCCATTGCTACCATACACTTCTTGGCTATATTTGTTGTTGGAACGCTCGTTAGATATCTTGTTAGCCAATAAATCTAGATTACGGCTTTCAAACATGCTCTGTACCATATATAGAATCTTGTTGTCACCTGTGTTAGAATATGTAGAGACATCGTTATCCGAATAAGGGGAATATTCAGGACCGGGATCTGCCACGTAGTTACTGTAGACTGAGGCCAATTTGAAGGATTCTATAACCCAATGATAAAACATGGTTAACTGCTCCAAACTCAGATTTGGAGCGTTTTCAAAGAAAGGATGAATCGGGAAATGCCTCAGATCCTTTTCCGAGTAATAAGGATATTGGGTACTAGTGTCAATAAAGGAAGAAGTCGACATATTATCATGCTTTGATGGAATCATCACCAAAATATTGTTCCCATTTTTAGGATCAATGGGTATTACTATCTGCCTTCTCGATCTGGCTGCCATGTTTACAAATTGGAATATAAAAAATAAGCATAGATTTAAATAACGATTGTAACTTGAGAGAAGATACCCAAATTAACATGCCCCCTTCCTTGTGCCAAATTTATTACTAAAAAATTACTTAATTGAATCATGTATATAATATTGACCTTTCGGATTAGAATTAGTTGATCTAGGGTCATCGCAAGTCTTATTGTTCCCGCAGTTCATCCTCAGCACCCAGGAAGATTTATCCTCAGCCCGGTCACAAGGAATAGTACACGACAACGTGTTATCGTAAAATTGAGCCAAGAATGGTGTAATTTTGCTAGCTTTTTAAATTATTATTATTTTTTCGCATAAATATTCGAATTAATTTATAAAAAATCTTTTACTTTTTAATTAACTTCGAAAACTGCTTAGCCGGTTATTTAAGTCTGAGATTCATATAAATATTTATAATGTCAATCAATATTATTTAGGTTAAAAGATTGACTGCTGACCTATAGGAGAGAAAGCTGTCTCTTATTATCAATCATTTCTTATTTTTTCTCAATAAAGCTCATTTTCCTTCCCTTTTTTTTTCACCCTTAGAAAAAAAAGAAGAAGAGTTAAACAAGATGTTAAAAAGAATTTGAATACCGTTGACCATATCGAAGGCTCCCAATCTCTCTAAAAGTTTGAGTACTAATCCCAAGATAGGGCCAGAAGCCGGAGGCGGACACGACAAGATGGTGTACCTTCCTTTTAGGAAGGAAGTTTCGAAGGCGTTCCTCATTTCCGGTTGGTAATCTCGCAAATCCTCTAACGTCATTGCGCCTCCCTTCGCGTTAACCTAAGTTATTTCCGGTTAAGGGGAGGGGATATAATTGTTAGAATTTAAAACCGTCCTATTATTAAGTATTGTCAAAAACCTTACCCTAATTATAAAACGGTCGAATCAAAATCTTAGCCAATTTTTTTTTTCAAATCTTGATCTGGAGATTTATGGAAAAGATGACCGAATATTTGTGCCATCTGTATTGCGAAAATCTCGCGGGGTTAGTTTAGTACTTTTTTTTAGCTAGAATTTTGAATTCAATCATGTTTAAAAAACGTGCCTAAAATCTGGTTGTTGGCAATATTAGTCATAATCCTGAACCTTGCCAGCACTCTTATTTTATAAAACCTTCATAAATTGATCAAATAAGGTATAGAGAGATGCTCATTTTAATTATTTTTGTTATTAGGGGCAAGGTAGAGAGAGATGATTAAATTTTACAAACAGCTTCGACGATGTGTTCCGCTATACTTCCTTCGTAAATAGCTGCTGGACCTTCGTTAGCGATTCTTCTCAGAACTTTGGCCAACGCTAAATTCTTGATAAGGCTCCTGACTTCAAGATATTGGACGGTTTGGTTGGTCGAATTGCTAAAGTCAGTAGCATTTGAGATTTTGGATAAATATAGGGAAGCTATTTGAGGAAAATCCCTTTCCAATTGGCTAGGGGATTCGAATTTCTTTACCAAGGCACTGTCTATTATTTTTAAGAAAAGGGCAAAATATCAAGCAAGTAATATTCTAAAGTTATTTTTTTTCTCGTTAAATATGTGAATAATTATATGATAATAATGGAAAATTAGCGTAGTTAATCGGTTAGACAACCCATCCCTGAATCCTAGAATTAAGTTTTTGGGTATAATAAAATACACTTTTAACCAGGAAGTATAATCGTTTTTCTGTTATAACTACCACTGAGATCGATAAATTGGAGATAAAACAAAAAGTGGCCCTTAAGATGATTCGTCTGTTAACCTTTATGAAAATAAATTAATAAGATTTGATTACATGTAGCTTCCGTTATTGGAAACCCATTTTCCGCCAGTTTCATTGCTGGCTCCACATTATCCTTCCAAGTTAATCTAGTTAACATAAATATAAAACCATTTTTATACCTTAGATTAATATATAAATTTCATTAAAATAAGTGTCATTTTATAAAAACTATAAATAACTTTAATTAATGTTATCAGCTGTTTAGTGGGGATTCTAAGTTTAGTGGGGATTCTATTTATCATATATTAATTTGGTAAGAATAAAGGATAATGAAATGATTGACACCTACTTTCCGTACAGTTCGTGGGCTTTGAAAAGCCCTTTTACTTCTCCCGGAACGCCTATGATGGAACCCTTATATAAATTTATTTTTGTTGGAAAAAAATAAATAATCGAAATAATAATAACTTTAGTATACTATAAAAAACACCCAATCAGATGCTGTTATCTAGTGGTCACGTGACCTGTCTATGATTTTCGAGAAAAAGGTGAGGAACGATATATTAAAAATAAAAATAATTTTAAATTATTTGAATTATCGTTTAAAAGAAATAAAGAATAAAATGAGAAACGATTAGAAAAGAAAAATGGAAATGAAGAGAAGAGAATTGAAGAGAAGAGAAAAGAAGATAAGAGAAGAGAAGATCTAATAAAAAATAAAAAGGAGGTTATAATTTCTAATTTTCTTACGATATTAGCCCATGGATCCACCGCGTTCATAGGCATAGTTTCCCTGAAGTCTATAACTTGAGAGACATTGGATTTAGAATCTAACACGATCATCATTCCTCCCCTGGTCACCAGAAATTTACATACAATTATTTAACATATATATATATATAGTATATACTTAAATTTATGGTAAGAATTTTTTTAAAAATCAAAAGATCATCATAACACTTCATTAGAGTCATTTTATAATGAACCCTGCAATAAATCAATTCAGTAACGAATTCTAATAAGAAATTTTTGCAAACCCCTGTTAAAGCATAAATATTTAATAGGTTTCTCAGCCTCGAACTCAAGTGAGAAGTCAAAATTTTAGGGTAAACATATTTCATATGCTTTTTTTTCTTACAGTCATAACTATAGTGTTGTTAAACGGCTAACTCAACATTTCGTCCAGAAGAATATTACGCAAACCTGAAGATTTTGCTCAAAGAAGGAACAAAGGTCCTAAGCATGAAATATCGAAATAATTTTTTCTGGCTAAAATTGAGAGTTAGCAGCTGTTTAACAACCAGTAGTCATAACTATGTAACCTAGTGTTCAATCTAATTTCTGATTCCGCTAATTTCTACCCTAACAACAAATATTCCGTAGATTCTTACCCATCATATTCAGAGTTTTAAAATACTAATGTAAATTAAAAATCAGTATTTTTTTTATTGAGAATGCTCAAAAAGCAATTTTGATCAAATTTTACTTTGATATCCAAATTTCCAGTGATTTTAAAAGTAAATCCTTTGTAATTCCTGCTTACTTTAAAAATCTTTCACGATGAATTCCAAAATTCTGAGCTTCTTAAAAATAAAATTTTTGAGATGATTATTCATAATTCAAAATAAATCTTTAAAAAGTTTACTAAGGTTTTCGTCTTTTGTTCAAGTTCTGATCACAATGTGCTTCGTAAAAATGAAAAATTAATTTTCCCACTTTTTGCTTTCTTCCTTCCTAGTCATAATTTTTTACTTTAATATAAAATAAAAGCTATTTTTTTTTAAAAAAAAAATTTTTATTTTATTAAGAGAGATGGACTCAAAGACATAATAATAATACCTAGACTGACGACGCGTTTGTTTGAAGCGTACATCGATGAAAAACAGCTGAGGACACCATTTTGGTTACACATAATTTAAAAAGGACAGGCCAATTTATTCCTATATGTCTGCCGGAAACTGAATTGCCTGATCATCGAGGATAACATGGAAGCAAGTTATCAATTTAAATAGCAGTTTTTATGATGAGAATAATTACTATACGGGTTATCAAATGGCGGGTTCAGCTGATTTGCTTTCAACGACGCTTAAAAATGCATTATTATGAAATGCATCGTCAGTCTAGGTATTATTGTATGACATTGAATGGATTAAATAAAGAATTATACATATGTTGTTAGTTTAAAACGGGGCTGGCTATACGGGAGGTGTTGTGGTCTTTAACTATAATGTGTAATTTTATTTTTAGCCAATGAAATAGCCGTATCATTGGGCTATAAAACAAAAAAACCAGGGCTCGCTAACTTTCCTACAGTGAGGCTAGTGATGCCAAATAACTCCATTTGAACTGGTTTTTTAAAACCGGCTAACTCACTATTCTTAAAAACCGGCTCACTCAATATTTTAGCCAAAAATTTTGCCGAAGCCTGGAGATTCCGCTAACAGATGTTCCAAACCTTTGTGCCATCTATGATTAAAAAAATCAGGGTTGCCGTAATATTTCCTTCTGGATAAAATAGTTAGTCAGCTGTTTTTAAAGAAATGGCATCGAATTGAGCAATTTAGTAAAGCTACTGTGGGCGCCATTAGGGTAAGACGGAAAATATAAAATTCAACATACACAATACATATTGGGCACACTTAAAATGTACATTTCCTAGCACAAATCATGTCCATTCCGAACATTTTGGAACGATCTATCCAGTCATAGCCTTTTTTTTTAAATACTGGTTTTAACATTTTCCACCCATCAGTCAATTCCAAATTTCATATATTTTTATTTTTTAGAATAGAATAATTTTTTTTTCCTCTGCAATTTAATGCTCTTTAATTAACCAATTTACCCCGTGACATTTTACCCCCCGATGGTAGTGAATTCACCTAAATGGCTATAGGATCCTCTCTAGATATGCTAAAAATAGGATGTCCATGCAATACGGTAAATTTTTAAAAAAATTTGAAGATTTTTTTTTTCTCGAGGAATATAAAATTATAAGAAAAGATGTTAAAAATGGGCTAAAAAATATTTTGATCGATAATTTTTTATGAATAAGGAGCTCCCGTTACTAAATGAACATATGATAGATAGTTATGTATAGATGTGGATCTTTTGAACCAAATATGTAACAACCTAACCTTAAGAGATTTTTAGATTTATAGCCGTTTGCCTTTTTACCCCACCTGCCGGATAGCCCCGGTATCCTTTTACCCCTTTTAATATACGAAATGATGTGTTATGTGTTTTATTAAAGCATTAGAATAGCGTTGTGATTTTACCCATAATAATACATAACCAAAAAAAAATTTAATGTTATCTAATGACGTCTATAACTTAGTCGGTTCAGTACGCGTTGATTCTGGATTCGAAAATCCAGCAAATATCATGTTTTTTTCAGGAACCAACTAAGTGCTTCCGTCCTTGAAGGATTATATATTAGATTTAGTAGGTAGGATTTGATCACGTGATTCAGTTGATATATATACAATTTTATTGTATTTCGGTCATCATCACCCTTAATATATACCTTATTTGTAATAATTGGAAGTTCGGTTGGAATTACCCTGTAATGGATTTGATTTTAATCGTTTCAAAAATACAGGATCGCCACGGGATCTAATTTTAAAAATAATCAATGGCATCTTCCCATTAAGAAAATTTTGATCTTTTATATTAATTAAGTATTATATTATTAAATAGTCCAATATTTTTCTCTCATTTTAACTTTGATTTCTTCGGTGAAATGCAAAAAGAAGAAATACAAACCCTCCAATGCCAGAATGTGCCCCATTGACAACTCCCCTACAAAATATGGTCGCTACTATGGCGTCTATCGAGCTTCCCCCCCTTTTCATCTGCTGGACTCCTATATCCGAACATAGTTTGACGTCGGAAGTCACCGCTCCGTGATTGGGGGTTAAATCTTTCCACGTTCCGGTCTATTTGTTAATAATGTATATATATATATATTGTTATATCTAGAAAATATTTAGAAAAATTAGCCTACAAAAATTGGATCAAGTAGGGAATTCAATTTGTTATACCATTGAATTTATATAGAAAAAATTAAAAATAAGATGAATTTATGAAAGCTTCCGCATCCAAATTTCGCGTTTTTAACTTATGACCGGAAATGGCGCTACTATTAAGTAAATTTAGGCTAAATTGTTATGGTTAGGGTTTAGAGGCGACCGAGAGCTGCATTCATGTGCCAGACCATCAAATAATCCTTTTTGGTTTAAAATTTACTATAAACACGAAAATTTGCTAGTGTTGTTAAAACGGGTCGATTCGAGCCGATTTTTAAAAACGGTTAACTCAATATTTTAAGCCAGGAAAAATGATGGCCTCAGCCTCGAGATATCGCTAATAGATGTCCAAAAATTGTGTCATCTATGAGGCGAGATCTTTATGGCTTGCGTAATATTTTTCCAACGGTTTTTAAAAAATCGGCTTAATTTGACCTGTTTAACAACTCTGCAAACTTGCAATAAAATTTAGAAAAAGCAAAACAATTTTCCTTAAAAGTGTTCGCAAATAAATTTTTGTCCTTTTTTAATATATGCATTTAACTAATCGAATCCATATAAGTTATTTTTCCTAAATATTTTTTTGAACAAATTCAATTATACTCGAGAATCATGAGGGTTCAGGGTGATAGAGAGTGTTACGACTAAAAATACGGCAGATCCACACACCAATAGAAGGTATCCTATCATTTTCAGATATTTGCGAGGCGTAATAAATTTTTTTCTATATAAATCTATGTATATATATATATATAATTAATTATATATTTTTCTAATTTTTAAGGTTAAATGATAAGAAAATCATTCGTATTTTAAAGGAAATTATATATGATAGCGTCAACGTGTTTTTTTCCGGATATGTTTTATTTTTTAAAATTTTAAATCATTTTTTGAGCGCGAATGGTATCATGTTTGCAATATTTACCCTAAAAAATTTCAGATTTTTGCCATGTGAACTTTAGAAATTTAATAAAATTTATATTAGATTTTTCCAATATATTTTTTTTTAAATATAAATTATAAATGTCTCAAAATGTTATAGGTGAAATTTGTATAAAATTCATAGGGTACTTCTCTTCTCTTCTCTTCTCTTCTCTTCTCTTCTCTTCTCTTCTCTTCTCTTCTCTTCTCTTCTCTTCTCTTCTCTTCTCTTCTCTTCTCTTCTCTTCTCTTCTCTTCTCTTCTCTTCTCTTCTCTTCTCTTCTCTTCTCTTCTCTTCTCTTCTCTTCTCTTCTCTTCTCTTCTCTTCTCTTCTCTTCTCTTCTCTTCTCTTCTCTTCTCTTCTCTTCTCTTCTCTTCTCTTCTCTTCTCTTCTCTTCTCTTCTCTTCTCTTCTCTTCTCTTCTCTTCTCTTCTCTTCTCTTCTAATCTATTTTATTCTTAACATGCTGAAATACATTTCAGATAAAAATCAATCAGATTTTTTTCAAATTTATTAAAACGAGCTCAAAAAATGATTTAAAGTTAAAAAAAATATAACACTTTATAAATTATTTCGACAATTAATATGGAAAAATAATTATAACCCTAAAACCAGGGATGCGAACCCGACAAAATTTTTGCCCGGGTTCGGTTCGGCTTAGGTTCAAGGTATAAAAAAAAGGGTTCGGTTCGGGTTCGGTTCGGGTTCGGTTCGGTTCGGTTCGGGTTCGGTTCGGGGTATAAAAAAAGGTGGGTTCGGTTCGGGTTCGATTCAGGGAAATATTTTTGAACCCGGGTTTGGTTCGGGTTCGGTTCGGGTTCGGTTCGGGGTATAAAAAAAGGTGGGTTCGGTTCGGGTTCGATTCAGGGAAATATTTTTGAACCCGGGTTTGGTTCGGGTTCGGTTCGGGTTCAAGAATTTTTGAGTTGATAAAAAAAATTCTATATTTAAATCATAATAAAAAACTAGACATAAATTTGATATAAAAAATAAAAAAATTTTTTATTTATAGGCAAATATAGTTAAAAATACAAAGCATATAGTCATGTATCAATTTTAAAAATTTTATTTAGACGTATTAGCATAATATCTTCCAAGAGTTGTTCACTCATCCTCGATCTATGTGGTGAAAGAATGAATTTCAAATGTGAAAAAGATCTTTCAACGCTAACCTATGTTAAATGTATTTATATGTGAAAATATGATAAATTAACTTGGGTTGCAGGAACAGCAAATAAGATTTTAGATAAAATATATAATTCAGGGTGTTCCAGCTTAGCAGACTCCCAAAATGCAAAATATTTTCCTTCTTATCTAATCTTTTATAATCGCTAAATCCAGTAATTATTGTTCAATACTTTTCTCAGCAATCGTTGGCCCTCTTTTAAGTATTTTCTCCTGCCTTTCTTTAAGTTGTATCAATTTCTCTAAATCATCTTCTTGTTCAATAACTTCATCGGAACTTATATCATCAGATAAAATCGGCGTTGTTAAGCTTTTAATTCGTCTCCATAAATTGACAAGATGCCTTTTCGCACAAATCTTATCATCATCACTTAGTAATACCTGTAATATTTAAGGATTTTTATTGTTTATATTTAAATATTCCATAAAATAACAATTTTAATATAAATCTAAAATAATTAATTTACTAAGCTTTTAATTAACCTTGTATCTTGGGTCCAGGTATAAGGCAGCTAAGAGAATTTCGTTCTTTATAAACCTTTCTTCTCTGTTCTTAAGACAAGAATATAGTAATTGAGCAAAATGGTTTGGATTTTTTTCCAGTTCGATGCAGCATCTTAACCAAAATATGTCAGTGTTAACTGTTCAGATTGGAATTGTTTGGTTGCGATTTTTAGCGGTTTTAAAATTTTAACAATCGTTATTATCTCTTTCCAATCTTCAGTCAATAAATAATCAGATTGCTCTGAAAAAAAATCTTCGATATTGGGTTTTAGTAAAATCAGCCTTTCTAACATATCATGGGTTGAATGCCATCTGTGGCAATCTAACACAGGCTTAGGGAGTTACATATTTTTTAATAACTTTTGGTAAGTGGGATGTCTTAATTTTAAATTTAGGCTCCTAGCTTTTGCAATGGTTTCCACAATAGGTGATAATTCTATAGCATCTTGAAGTGCCAGCTGAAGTGTGTGAGCTGCACACCGTACACTATAAATCGGATAGGATATAATAGTTGATAAAAAAGTATTTTGTATATCATCAATATCATATTTATATACATTTACATCCATATTTTCCTCATCTGCTGATTCACTTCTTATATCATAATCAGTTTCAGGTTGCAGGAGCTTTATAGCTCTTAAAAAATTACAACCATTATCAGAAGTAATTGTGTATATTTGTTCAATATTAATTTTAAATTTTAGTAAAATTTTTAATATATTCTCTTTTATATATTCTCCTGTACATCTCTCTTTCAGCTCTACAATTCCAAGAGTCCTCAAATTTATAATGGACTTTGATATAAATTGAATATTTACACCAAGAATTGACCTATCTAGTCGTTGAACTGCATCAACTTTTAAGCTTATTAATTTTCCTTCTACCTCTCTCGATATTTTGTCTCGAATTGATTGGGCTGTTTTATTAATAGTTCTGAATAAATTTTCTTTGTTTATAACTAAATTGAGCCCAGATAGGAGTGGATTTATAATTCTTTGAAATCCCGAATCTTCAATAATTGATAAAGGCCCGCCATTTACAGTAACAAGTTTTAGTATAGAACTCATCAAATCATTAGATGATATATTTATACTTATATGCTTTTTTGGAAAAAAGGTTTCTATATTAATTTTAGGTTTTTTTGCCAAAAACAATTCCTGATATTTGGTTTTTTCATTTAAATAATTTAAATATTCATTGTTGTGATTTCTTTCCAGGTGTCTTTCTAAATTTGACAAGTGATTACCAGACATTTTTACTTTGCAATATGAACATATTGATTTTTTTTCTATTGTATTAAGGGTAAAATGCTTATCAAATATGACTATATCTTTAATCTTAAATCTATAAAAAGAGAACAATTTTATGATTTCAGAATTAAAAAAGAGATATTTATAAATTTAATTTCATTTATAATATGCACTTCATTAATATCTTGTAAAAATTAATCTGAACCAAAAATAAATGATTAGCATATATAAATTTTAAAATCATTTTAATAAGTTCACAAAAACTGCCCTACATTTAACAATTTTTAAGTTAGATGTTTAGAATTTTTTAAATTAACAATATAATAATTTTTACTTTGATTTGTTAACCATTTTCTAATTAATAATCTTTAAGAATAATAAGATAAAAATTTAAAAATAAATGGCGTAAATTAATTCAATTGTTTAAAATTTTTTAACACTCCAATAGGAATCGAGAATAAATTTAAAAATGGCATAAATGAATTAAGTTGTTTAAAATTTATTAACACTTCATTTAATTGGAAATTTGAAAATATAATATTTGTATTTACATATATTAATATATGATTTTAAATAATACACTGAACCCGGTTGAACCCGGGTTAAAATAAAATTCTTGGGTTCGGTTCGGGGTTTTGAAAATTTTATAAATGGGGTTCAGGTTCGGTTCGGGTTCAGAGTTTTTTTCTAAAAACCCGGGTTCACTTCTCCGGGTTTGGGTTCGGTTCGAATCCCTGCCTAAAACTCAAAGGAGTGAAAAAATAATGGAGTCGTAATATAATTATACTGTATAATATTTTATTTTAGTAAATTAAATTTAGAATCATAGGAGAAACTATTTCAAACTTTTTCATTTTTATTTACAAAAAAAAATAAATGAGAATAGAAACTTGGCCCCATATACCTAGGGATCTGATGGTCCCTGGATATGGGATTTGTTTTTTCTTTCCATAATGATATATATATTTATATATCAAAGTTGAAAACTACTAAAAGAGTTTTTTTTTCTCTCTCTTAAAATATCGTTTCGTCATAATTTACAGGATATATATAACCTAAAAATTTTTTTATAAATAACCGGGCCGGACCTAAAATTTTTTTACCCGAGCCGGTTAGAATATTTTAAAACCAAATATTTTAAATCTTCATTATTATCTATAAAAATTGAAAAATAAAATGAAAAATATTTTTAAAAAAAACCGGGTCGAGCCTTAAAATATAAAACCCGAGTCCGGTCGGTCCAAAAGTTTTTCTTAGTATCCGGGACCGACCGTTGCAAATGTTTCCTTAGCAGGTCTCTGATGTATTCTGTATGTCAACCATTAAAAAAATCCGGTTTAAAGATTCGAATTCTTATGTCTAAAAAAGTAGACATATCGGTTTCTTTAAAAACTTAACTTTTAATCATTTTTAAACACAACCGTAAAAAAAGAGAATTATTTTGATTTCAGAGGGAATTTATAGTAAACGCGTTATGTGTTGAAGTGACGGGTTATTTAACGCAGCGTTATTCAAAAAATCAAAAACAGGCTAAAAATAAAATAGGTATGATTTATAAATATGGAGTGTTACGATGAAAACGCTACTACGATAAATTTGAAAAAAGATTGTGTTGCAGATTATAGTAATAAAACAAAATTAAATATTTTATGATTGGTCGAAGAATGGCTTGCCATTAATGTTGGCCACGGATTAATTTTTTCGCATCCGTTGAAACAGTATATTATAAGTAAGAGATACGAACCCTATAATATTATTCAATTTTCGATATATTTTTTCAATAATTATCAAAAAAAAAATACTATTTACTTTCCATATCGCCCATAGTAT